GCACGAAGCTGACGATACGATCTCCTTACGAGTTAGATCGGCCCACCCTTGTGTGGGTTCCGCGCACATGACCGAGCTCTGCCTAAGGAGTAATCTGCATCCATAGCTGTCCATGTCAATGGACAGCTATGGATGGGCGGCTATGAATGGACGGCCAGCATCATTCAACAGAAGCGATTTGTTGGTGGGTCTCGACACACTGAATCAATATCAGTACGTCATATCACCAGGGACGTAATGTTCCTAGTAAAGAAGGTGGAAGGGCGTCTTCATTATTAACATAATGCAAAATATTTCGGATATTTTAAAAGGATTGGACCGCGAAACATGGCTTGATCAAACGTACGCAAAAAGTTGTCGATTCTGCTGAACTTTCCCGGCCAGAGGCTTGCTACAGGTGCTGTGATGTCTCCGAGAAGATTTAGCGCTAGCGCGGATCCAACGTGAGGCGAGCGCAAGACGACGGTGGCTTCATTATGTAAGGCAGGTATTTCAGCCCATAATGTTATGGCTCAAGGCGAAGCACATAATTGGTAATATTTCAGCTCTCCAGGATTTGTTGGTGATGAAAAGCTGCTTTTTTGACAATTTATTTTCGTTCTAGGCAAAACTAAAAGACCACTTTTCAGGCAAATCCACCACTGCAAAGAGGTTGAGTCTGCATTTTTTACGCAATGACTATCTACATCAAAATAAGGTATTCAGTAAGGTGTTTGAGCCCAGTGTGTCTGAGCCTTTGAGTCATAGGATATTATATTTCTATTACAGTGGAAAGCCTCATTGAGGGGCATGGCGCTCCACTGGTTTGTCTCTCATTACGTGCCTTTTGTAACTGAAAGGCAAGCTTTGCATGCCTTCAAACTTTGGAGCGACGCAAGCTTGCAGTTGGCTTACCGCCCTATGGAGCTGATGGTGTACGGCCGTATTTGCACCCAGTTAGTGCTGTTAACATCCGTTGCTCGTTTTTAGACCTTCAATGACAAGAAATCATGCTGTTTTTCCGTATGATTTGGGGGACGAAGTTGCGCTTCTAGTGGCTTGATTGCGCATTACATCCAAATTGCTTTGAAAGTACACTCCTTTTCCTTTGAACAGAGCTTTCGTCTTTGCAGTGCTTTTCCTTTTCTCAGCTTCCATTTATTCCCTTTGAAATTATTTTCCAAGTGTCGAATTCAAATGGTGCGGAAATGCTGGGTAGGATGTACGCCATAATGCTTACCTGACCTTCATCAATTTGCAAGCCAGCCCTGTGCACATGATTTGCAATAAGAGGAGCAGTCGGCTGCTAAAAAGCAAGATACCCAGATGCAGGGGATACATGTGACAACCTTCTGCGCCTGTAGTGTGTAGAAGTCTTTGAGTGGGTTTAATCCTTTTGAGCGTGATGACATCGCATCATACCTTATTGGATGGGAATATGATGGCATAAGGCGACGATAGCACATCTGATGAAAGGCCAAGTCGAGGATCGGATATGAGGATTCTATTCCAGGGCTCGCATCTGACATTCTCGGCTTGTCTTGTTGAGAACACTGGAAACACGTACACGGTCGACACTTTTGTATGCATGTTTTCTTCAGAGCTGTGGCCTGTCTGTGTCACATGGTGAAGCAGGGCATGCAGCTGTTTAAGGCGTGAGTGGCGAACACAGTCCGTTGCGCGTCAGTGCCGCAGATGACAACAGCGACCACAGCTCTGCTTTGCGTGACACGCACCACAGAACACACCGACGATCCCCAATAACACAGCAAACATGAAATGAATGGGCATCTTCCTGTCCTCAATAGGCTTCATCATGTTCCCGGGAATTCATTACATTAGTCATGTAATTGTCTCAGTTCCAGTATCTGGCCAGATCTGCCGTCCAAAGGTAAAACCCCATGTGTTCATTTCTGGTCACTTTGCGTTTTTCATGCTATCTGATTTGTTCTCTCATGCTGCATTCGGATATTTAAACCAATAGCTGAAATTTTCACACACTTTTAGCTTAAAGAGTGGGTAAAAGTTTGTGAAAATTTCAGCCAATTGTATACGTACCTGAAATCAGCATGAGTACATGAATAACATGACATAAAAAGCGCAAAGTGGCCAAAAATTAACATATAGATTTTACCTTTGGACGGCAGAGATATCATACAGAATTTAAACGTTGGCTTGCCAACTCGTGGGAGTTATTCACGTGGCAATGAGTAACGTGAACAGAAGGAGCCGCTGCCTTTAATGTGTATTTTATCGTATTGTGGTTTAAGTGCAGCAACAGCCATGTGGCTTATCTTGCACTGATCGCGATGAAATGGTACACGTGGCGTCTTGGGGCAAGGATGGGGAAAGGTGTCGTATGCGCTATCCCAGCTGTCCTGATGTCGCTCAACGACAGCAACCTGGCATTTGTCTGATCTAATTGAGAAATGAAAGCCGACTTTGAATGGAACGCCTGTTTTCGGTCATGTGTACATTTTGTATTAGGTTGTAGTCTCTATTTCATATAATTCTCGAGACACATGATGTATGCACTTTGGAAAGTAACTGGGGCGGCAATAGCATCATATATTCCAAGGCGGGCCAAAGAAATCATGTGTAGCTCCGTATAAGGAATTGATGCTTCCAGAGTACCAAACAGGAAGCTACAGAAAGCATTTAAAGACAACATTTGTCTCCGAAGTTATTTTCGTGACACGCAATCGATCTGAATGAAGTGTGCCTCACGACGATTGGATCACTCGCTGATATAGCCGTATTCACTCAGTGAAACTAGTTTACTTTTGCCCAAAACTGGCCTCTGGCTGGAAGGGCAACTTTGTTTAGGCTTCCTTACTACGCAAAGACTCCATTGCTGTTGGGAAACAAATGAACAGATCGTTAGTCCATGACACTCAGAAAGAACATTTTAATTTATATCTCCACGAAGGAAGATTGGATGCCCAGAGTGCACGATCCGATCTACTCGAAACATGCCGCACCCCGCTCTCCCAATTCATTTTACTCTGATGATGCAAAACTTCTTCATAAGTTGTTGAGCGCATTTGCGAGGAACATTATTCACATAGACATGACAGTATTAATAGCCTATTCCTCGGAGAGAAAAAAACAGCAGAATGGAGATATAGATGCGTCCATATTTCGGCAGCATGCTTTTATCGAAACAATACCACTTCTGCTAAAGTTTCGATAAAGGCGTGCTGCGGAAATATTAACGCGTCTGTATCTCCATTCTCCTGATTTTTATCCGAGGAATGACGCTTTTACTTCTGTTTTATCTATGTGAAACGTTTTGGACACATTTACCGCATTGTGAGCCAAAATAGCCTACAAACTTTGCAATTTCCTCCTGCATGGCCACGCGGCCCCTGTGGCTTATTGGCTCTTTGGCAAGGATTCAATAAACTGCTTCTCTTTACCTAGTAATTTTGTGTCTCACGTGCCAAAAACAATATGATCCAGCTATTTGTTTTTGCCGATTGCGCGCTATGGATGAGTACGTTAAGCGAGCTGAGTTCTTCATTGCACACATATTCAGAAGTCATGCACCATAATGAAATATACCTACACGTATTCTTCGTGAACTGCCGATTTTCTTCGCACGAATACTGATGAAACGGATCACGCAAAGGGTACACAGCACGTCATACCAAATGACAACCGTGCAACGGTGAAGATGGGTAAATAGGAAACACGTTGTTACTGTGGTTATTTTATGGTCCCATCCTAGCCTACCATAAGGCTAAAATGTAACAGATACCTGAAATATCAAAGCTTGAGAGCTCGTTCAAAAGTTGTGCAGTCAAAAGAAAGACCTCGATGCTTTTGCATATCACTTGGTACTTTGCAAGTTAAGTAGACCATCTGAAAATATCAGGCACAATTGTAGCCATGAACGGCAAAACACACCCTCAACTTTACGTCTGAGCTTGTGTGTAACGTGATCGCTGCCATTGCCGCGACTTTAGGTCCACGTTTCATCGGGTGTGATGAATAGCATTTGGAGTGGTAAAAGCATGTAACAGCGGAGGCCACTTGTGAAAAACATTCGAGCATCCGTCAGCAGATATAGCCATATCTGTAGAATTAGGCAAATGAACATCCCATATCAAACCTCTCTGAGGCTGTGCTGTTAAGATTACGGTACAGTATTCGTGTCAGCCTCGAAAGCAGATGTAGTACAAAAGTTTGCATGAGTCAACGAGTGACAAGTCCTGAGTAAGTTTTGCAACTGGTGTATTCCATTTATGTTGAGAATGAAGTCAAGAGGCTACCGTATTGCAATTTAACATCATAACGTGTCAAATAAGGTTACAGTTCTACTACTAACCCATGCCACATTGTGCTATTGGTGCTGATACTCACGCACTACGCAAATGTATTTGATTTCTATGGTGGTGTGCGCCATTGCCTCCTCGCTTGCCAGTGATTACGGATGGGTGAACTGAGGTGATCAAACCAAGACTTTGTGATGCTACGTAGCGTTGTTCATTCCTGGTGCAGCACAGAAACCTTCTAACATTTTAAACCGAAGCGAATTTCGTACGCATGCACCCAAAGATGTGCCAAGATTCTCAACAGACGAGACGTCGTGGCACTACTTCTTGAAATAGGTCTCAACAATTACAAAATATCGGCAGTGACAGACAGACATGCATGAAATGTTTTTCGTTGCATAAACCTCAAAATGGTGCAATGATGCAACAGCGTAAAATTCGGAGTCTTCGGAGTGAACAGCAAGTGTAATATTTTGAGAGGAATTTAATCAACTGTTTGCATGATGCGATTGTAGAACCAGCCAGCACAGTTCTACGCACCTGTTCTCTAAAATATCACCTGCATTCACCTCCTCTCCGAACGTTTGACAGGCCGAGCCAATCGGGAGATTTGGTGTGCTTGTCATGACTGGCCCAACTCCTTGTCAAAAGATCAGTATGCAATTAAGGACACGAGCAACTAGACTGCAGTTTACTAAGTGGCACCACGACATTGACAAGACTTAGCAACTATACACAACATACCTAATGGAGCACATATAGGCCGGTAGTTATCTGCAAAACAGGTAAGACCCGTGTAAGGCAGGTGTCAGTCCACCCGCGACACCTTTGACTAGCTGACTTGGGGGCCAGTTAAACTACGGAGCAGCAAAGCCAATGCTTATGGATACCCTACACCCAGCGCTAAAGCACCTTGGAAAACTCCAGAAAGCAATGCCGAAGCTATGAAACATAAAACTTTACCAATCGAGATGTCTTCTTGCCCATTCATTCCGTAGAGTTGTTTATCGGTAAAACCGCATTCTGCATCATGATTTGCGCACTTTCTATGAGACATGACATCTTCACGGATAAATTAGCTAATCTGGAATCGGTGTATTAGCAGTATAGCTTACTTCTTGCTTATGGTTACGAGCAGAATGCGGCCAACCGATATTCATTGACACACACACACACACACACGCATACACACACACACGCACACACACATACACACACACATACACACACACACACACATACGCACACACACACACACATACACACATACATACACACAAACACACACAAATAGAAAAGAACAGGAATGCAGACTCGTGGCAAAAGAACGCTCTCAAGTAAGAGTTCTTTGCCCTGTAGGATTAACAAATGAGTATCGTAAATTTCCCATGCTCATGCCGTATATTTATAGAAAAATGCCGCTTCCTTTATGGCCCATACAGATTACATACGAAGCAAGACAAAAAGAGAGGACAGATATATCGAAGCCATTCGTTGGCTTTGCACTTACCCAGCACCAATGTCGGCCAGCTTTCCATTCGGGCGGAAAGGCCCTTCAAAAATATTTGGTGCAAAAATAACAGTGTCTCCGAGTTAAGGAATATCGAATTGACATCTTCGTGGCTACACGGCGGCATTTTTGAAGAGGCCGCCATTTTGAATGGCCTTAAAAAGCCCGTCACTAGGATGTTGAGCTGCTCCACGTACTCCTCTTCTGCCTCCACCATTCGAAACACGAGACTGGAACAGTGCGACAAGGGGTTATTTTCAGCATTCAGCCACCGTTTTTTTCTGGAGCCATCATGGCAGCTCAGCAACATTACAAGTTTTCGTTTTTCTCGGACATATCTACAGTGGATTCGAAACCCACTCCTGGTTGTTTTTTTCGGCTTGCCTGCTCTGCCGAATGCAGAGGCGTCATACCATTCAAACAATTGCAAAACAACTCACGAGATGATAAAATATATCTTACCCTGCTGAAAACGTGACGCATCCATGTGTTGCATACTGGCACCATTGGCATAGTTCGTGGGTGAGGACAAGTACACCCAACGATTAACTTGAACACCTAAAGTGAAACCTCCCTAGAAGATCACCCGCTTCATCGCACGACCCAAAACAAGCATCACACGTCTCATTTATTTGAGAGGTAACTCATCGCTTCATCAGGTTCTTAGTCGCTGGAATGCTCCCAGGGTACAAACGTGGTGGGTATGCCTAATTCGGTGACATATATTCCTGGCGGGATCATGAGCAGTAAGCAGCCCAGTGTCAAAGGAACCTGACCCGCATCATTTTTGCTTTGCTTTTTGCTTTTTTCATCATCAACTTTGCATGCCAGGCACCGGGGCTTAGACAAAGCGCTGCACCAGTGTCGGGCTGTCCTTTATAGCTTGAGCACTTAGCTCAGGCTTTAGTCTTCTATTCAAGTATTGTGACCCTTCATTGCAGAGCATATCATAAGTTCAAATACCTTCGCTGGGGAATTCACCATGGCTTATCAGGTAACTGCAGGAGTTCGTTCATGCCGAATCAATGTGGCGTATCGGGATTGTTTTCACTCAGAACAAGCTGCCTGAGCAATAACCTCGTGCTACTAGGCTATGGAACAAAGACATTTCAGAAAACGTCTAAACATTCATACTAGCTTCTAGCTGATCGCAACGCAGAGCTTTTTAGCAAAGAGCGACCGACGTGTCATCAAGCAACAATTTTGAAGTTCTCAGTATTTTTGAAATTCATCGTGACAAACAAACGAAATGCATATCTGTACGCTACTTAGCATATCAACCTGTGTCAAACATCTGGCATCATTCTAGCGCCTCCTCCATCACGTGGTTCGGTAAGTACATCAAAGCGTTTCCTTAAATCATAACTTTTAACCAGCCGTCTCAATGCGTGCCTTTTTGCTCCCCATCGGTGAACAGTGCAGTAGTCGCATTAAGGTTCATTTCAGCTCCTTGTCCATGCCAGCTTTCTCGGAGCGTCTTTCCTGGTGTGTGTATGTTCTTAGGTTCACAAACGCTTGCATTTGATGACCTAACTTGCAATGTGCAAAAAAAAACAGTTGGTGACAGCGGCAGAGCTGTTCTATTTCACACCCGATATCTATCAGCAGCCAAGGCTGAACGCAGAATGTACTAGGATTTACGAACTGTTGGATCAAGGACCTTCGGTGGTCATGTAAGAGTTCCGGTTAGAGGGCTCGGACAGCCCATCCACACTCGGCACAGGCGGCCGGCGAGGCTGCGTTAGCCGGCAGCCCAATGTTGGCTCTAAAACGTCCCGCTGGAACGAACACGCTGTAAATCTGTGCTGCGAATTTGCCCCTGGTTTCGTCCGTCTTTACAGCGTCTGTGCGATTAATGCGCCATTATCACTCTAACCATAGCGCACTGATGTATCAAGTCTGTCTCAGTCAGTAAAAGACATCTTATAGCGGAGCTTCAATCGCAGCCGACAAATTCAACGGTGGGAATGGACAACTATTCCTTATCTCTTCTGGCTTTGCACATCTTTAACTGAAACGTTCAGCAAACTCCTTGTCTGCCTCGCTGATGCGTAGTGACAGAATGGTCTTAATGGACGAAGCTTTTCGAAGTTTTCTGGCGGTTAATGCTACACCATTACCACTGCTCAATGTTTAAATATAGTCACTTTTTCGTCGAAGCACACAACGCGCATTATTCACGACTGGTCGAACAATAAACGGTTTGCCTCCCGGAGTCAACATATTTCGGCACCTGCAAATGTAAAATAGTTTTGCTTTTCAATTCACACTCAATCGGGTTTTGGCAGACAAGTATCTTAGAACGCGCGAACCGTTTCTCATTGCCTAATTATATGAAATAAAAGGCTTTTAACAATGCCCTCATGTCCTAAATACGCATACTGAGCAAAATAGGCGAAGTTCTATCTCGTTCCTTCGTTCGATAACTCGGTACTCGGGAGATCAAACACAATCGCATGTGTAACCTATCCTCCTCTCCCTTTTCATCGGAGTAGCTCCAATTTCACGCTACCCGGGTTCTGAATAACTGCCAAAAGTGCCTGTCCGCATGAAGGCGGCATGCAGAGACGGCAATAATGTGATTAAAGCTGCCGGATCAGACTTGGTACTACATGAGATTATCTTACAATAAAGTGGATTTAGCTTGTTGATCACGCTCTGGACGACTGTGGCGATTTTAGATCTCTGCTTTGCTACGCCTGGAGTGCAAACTGCAGAGGTTCGCCCCCCACGCTGCACGAGGTGTTGAAATGGCTGAGGCTGGCTGTGGTGACTGCGGTACAAGCATCGCTAAATCAAATATCATTCTACTCCGATTCTCTCTCAAAAACGGTGCGTTGACCAAAGTAATTCTGCACGTAATAGCATTTGCACTGGACTTTATTTAACAAAATGCCCACTTGGCGGCACCCAGTGCGTGAGATGCGGTCCCATCATTCCTATCCCTTTTCCAACTTATTTTTGTTCCGAATGGCGTGAAGTTTTTTCTCAGGCAACTTGCTCTGTGACGGATTCCTGTTGTTCCTTACCTTGCTCGTGTGGGGTTAGTCCCCGGAGATAAACGTCGTTCCTTTTGAAGGAGCGATTTGGACCGAATCGTACCTGTTTCGCTTACGCATGCTCTCGGCATGTGGTGACTTGATATATTCCTCGACAATCTGCTTCCAGCGACGGCGACACAGCCAGCCGCGGAAAAAGCTTTGGACCTTCTTAATCTTCTTGATCTCGTCAGACTCTTCGCTTTCTTCTGACTGCTGATGCGGAAGAAACCGCCAGTCCTTCTTCAGCGTGCAAAGCTGAAAGAATGACCAGCAACGTTGGACAACTTTGAGCGGTATATGGCAGGTTCAGAGAGCTTTCAGAGCCTTTCTGTTTCTTACATGTCGAGTTCTGCAGTGTTCCAACATCGGAGCATTTCGGATGCAGGATAGGTTTAAGCTTTTTGATGGTTCTAACTATTTTTGTTTTCAAACCTTTGCAAATTAAGTAATTACGTAACATTTGAAAGCTAGCTTCAAAAGAGACTAAATTACTCTCATTTGACAGAAGTCCTGCGAGGAACATGTCAGGGACAAACTGTTGCTATGCTGGTCGTTTTCCTGGTCTATATATTCAGCGTCTAAATGAACAATATCCAAAAGGTGCATGATCAAATGGCCAGACACCGTGCGGAGTACAATTTTGATGCAACCGGTAACCTGGCAGGATATAATGGTCTCAGCAGTGAATGTGTCTCCTCTAGTGTGGTGGAAGACATGGAATTATGACCAAAATAGCTCGGATACGATTATTATTACCATTAGCAAGGTTGTCATCGTCATGCACAAATGCATTTCTAAGACCAAGAATGTAATCTAAGTTGGTTGTGTACGCAGCCTCCTACTGATGCCACCTGCTTGCACATTTTCCAGTGAAAATAAATGAACAATGCACCATTTAAGATACTTATTTGTACCATTTTGCCGTTAACACGTTGGAAGCCTTAAATGCTGAATCAGATTGCCACGGTTTCGTCCGGCTAATTTCAATGTAAGCTGGGCCGGATGGCATGATATTTACACATTTGGTAAACAAGATTGGCGGCCACATGCCATCTGGACTAGCCGGACCAGATCGGACCGGATGATATTTACACATTTGGTAAACAAGATTGGCGGCCACATGCAATCTGGACTAGCCGGACCAGATCGGACCGGATGATATTTACACATTTGGTAAACAAGATTGGCGGCCACATGCAATCTGGACTAGCCGGACCAGATCGCACCGGATGATATTTACACATTTGGTAAACAAGATTGGCGGCCACATGCAATCTGAACTAGCCGGACCAGATCGGACCGGATGATATTTACACATTTGGTAAGCAAGATTGGCGGCCACATGGAATCTGGACTAGCCGGACCAGATCGGACCGGATGATATTTACTCATCTGATAAACAAGATTGGCGGCCAGATGGAATCTGAACTAGCCGGACCAGATCGGACCGGATGATATTTTCACATTTGGTAAACAAGATCGACGGCCAGATGGAATCTGAACTAGTCGGACCGGACAGGACCGGGCCTTGGAAATCAGTTCGTGAGGTGCTCTAGTTCCCACGACTCCCAGCGGTAGATCTGCCAAGCGGTTGCTGTGGTCGGAAGAGAGCGCCATACGCATGATGACGAGTCGTTTAAAGGGGCAGTGCCACCTGTCGGCCCGAAATTCACCTGCACACGCTACACACATGTAAATAAGGCAGTCGTGTCAAGCCCACGTACTCAAACGTCTCAACGGCCTAAATTTCGCTTTGAATGGATATTTCCGTGGTTGTTTTCTACCCGGTTCTTTGAAAATCGGTATCAACACTGCTTCGACCAAACATTGGTTTGTTCTATCCACTATTATCGAGGGAGTTGTTCAGTACGGGAACAGTCACCGGCCAGCCGGCCGGACAGCCTGCCGCTGATCGATCTACTGGCCGCAGCGGTTGGCTGCCATGCTATGAAAACAATGATTTAACGTATGGTTAAGTTACGTTGTCACACGCCGAATCCTTGTCCGGCCTAAGTGTCCGCGTGAAACTCGGCTATCCAAGACTGCCTAGTGGCTGAAAGATGAGCTTTCAGCGATGCTGCGCTGAGCGGTTCGGGTGTACTCTTCACCATTCGCCTCAAAACGCAAACAGGTACAGGTACAGTTACAGGTACAGGTACACCCACACAAACACACACGCGTACGCGCTCACACAAACGCACACGCACACGTACACGCACACGCATGCACACGCACACGCATGTACACGCACACGCGTACGCACACGCACACGCGCACGCACGTTCATTATCTCACGCTTGTACGTACTCCTGTACACACCCCCACCTCCACATCCACACCCCCATCCCCACTCCATACACCAAACGTACACACACTTCCGTCAGGTCTGGCCGGGTCAGATAAGAGTGCTCGAGCTGAAGCTTCTTCCTATAGTTCACGAAGACGACGATGGTACGCGGTCATATGCGCCATATCGGTTGCGCCGTTAAGGCCATATCTTGCGAACTACAGTTGGACACTTGTGGGCGTAAAACTTCTGCAATGACATGGCACGTATGTGGGTCCCTAATAAATTCTGGCAATTTGCTGTCACAAGTCATTTCAGCAATACGCACACCAAAAATGGAGCGCCTTTATAAAGGAATTATATCACATTAAGTCTCTGAATAGTCGTACAGACGCAACATTCTATTAGTACCATATCGATATTTTTGGTGGCTATTGGTTCCATACATACAGATAAGACCGTCCCTCAGATGATCAGACTTTTGGGGGCTGATCCGAAGTCTGTCATCAACACAGAGCTTTCTTCAAGCTCTGTACATGGGGGGAGGGGGGGGGGGCAAGGTGGTGGCTGACGGAGTGCCCGGTGCAGAGATAGGATCCATGCGGGGGGGGGGGGGGCGGATTATGTGCCCAGCGTTATCATACTCGGCATGTAACATGGCGCTCACGCAAAGAGCAAACCCCTTAATGGTCTACGTGCAACGCCATATGCCGAGCATCGATGACAGATCTCGCGTGCCCCACAACGTGTTCAAGTCTCGACAAGAGGCGCCGAAGCCAAGCGTGCGATAAGCGTGGTGTGCTGCGTGACGGACGGGCGTCACCACTCTACGTGACGGCCAGGTGTCACCGACACTGAGGCCGACACAGACAAGTAGAGCGGCGGTGCCTGCGCGGCCGCCGCCGGCGTCGGCAGCACGATGGATGGACCGCCGGGCTGGCTGCTGCCGCCCCCGCCGGGCCCACGCCCCCGCGTGGTGACCGTGTCACCGGGTGTGGTCGGGACGTGTTCCTGGCGCTGCTGAAGTGACAGCAGTTGGTCCGTCGCGCCGCGGTACTTGAGGCTACTGTGCATGTGCACCAATGTTTCGTTTCGTTTTGCTGCGCTCTGTGCGTAGGCCTATTCAGAACCATACCACGCAAAAGTCGCCTGTGATAGTTCATCATACGCTCGCTGAAAATTAGGACTGATTTTCGTCGGAATGAGTGGCAAATACTGGACTGTTGGTGCGGCGCGTATCACATTAAGATAGCACAATCCTTGGCGTGGATGTTCACGGTTCAGTCGCAGTGTCATGACGTTTATTGACTTTGCAATGTGTTCCTTAAAACACCCTGCCGTGTCCGGTAGTACCCCACTGATGCTAAATTTTCCGGTCGAGTGCTACAATTGGGGTGAGCTAGCTGCAAGCATGCGGCGCTTAGAGCATAACTCGGTGCTATAAAGTGGTGCTAGGGAAGAATGCAACACTGTAAGCATCCTGTAAGATGCGGTTTTGGCATAGCAACTTATGGAAGCAAATAGGAAAGCACCAGCAGAGCTCTTGCTTGTACGTTAGAAAAAGCTACAGTTAGTACCGCGCTTACACATTTTAGGTTCAAAAACAGTTGGCATCTTTCCAACATCACACAAACTACTTAAGGTAAGAGGTCTATGGGCCTGGTTTTCGGCAACGACATGGTGTTTTATAGGTGCTAATCTTTTTACACTGGTGAAGTGGGAGGGCAGTTGAAATAATGCATGATTAATTGTTCATACCATGGATGCGGGGTACGATAATCCACTCCGTAATTCTTCGGCCGCGATTTTAGACTGTTAGTTGCGCTTAATTGATAACATGAGTGATTGCCATTTTTCAAATCACACGTAAATTCCTTCTATTGCATGACACCTCAAATCGTGGTTCCTGGTTGTTAGCGGTTTATCACACCATGGTTCTTAATGCTTAGCGGTCTCTAGCGGTTCCCGCACTCGACCACTCAAAATGATGGGTCTGATTTTGAAAAGCGGCGTTACGTCCGGTGGAATTGTGATACATAAATAACCCCCCAAATATATAAATCTGTCTAACGCGCCATTTAACAAGGTCTTGAGAAATTTTCCAACACCCACTACGCCTTCGCAAATTTACCAAGATCTTAAGATATCGGAATTTCCTCTAGTAATTTTGGGATGCATTTAACCCTCGCCAAGGTTCACGGCTTCTCATAACGCGGGCCGATAGGGGAAGAGGTCGATGGCCTCCCCCTCGTCGTGTCTAACCTAAGAAAGAGGTAGTCTTGTGGGAATAACTAGTGAATTGGCATCAGTGGGATACCGCGACTTGTGTTATTTTATGCTGCGTTTTACACTGCTGGGTAAATAGTTGATCCCACGTTACCAGGTCAAAATAAATGTTCCTGAAAGTCGAACATTGCAGGCTAATCCGTCCTTGTCATCAATCTAAAAGTCACATAGGCAGAATTCACGCCCATACTTCTTTCCAAACGTAACAGATGATATGCTAAGGCGTTCAAAATTACTTCTTTCAGATGCGCCAGCTGTTTCATGCGCTCGTTGACCACCGCTTCATGTCAGCCACGAGCCGACGCCTTGCGGCCGGTGGAGACTGCAACGCCGGGCGTCGGGGTTGTTTCTAAGATTTGCGAGCGTGCATGTTCAAAATTAAGTTACATGATAGTTCTCAGTAATCGATTCTGACTGAATGTTGAAAATTTTAAGCCAGACATGGGTCAGCTTTGTCAATGCAAAATCTGACCTTATATTGATCTACAACCTACATTCAGGAAGTTCTCAATGTCTCTGAAGAACACAGAAAAATCTGGCGAGTCTTCTGAGTTCTATCGGTTTAGAAGGAGTACACTAAGCGATTGTAAAATAAAGAGCGCCGGTGTTTAATCCACGCAGTCGCTCAACGCCTCATTTCAGCAGAATTTAAAATACAAACAGAACTGATTTTGCGGTAGCTTCTGGTTTTTGTTTCTGTTCCGGTTGCAAGATCAAAATAACAATAATGCAAACGGCACCTTACCCCTCGTTAACAAATGAGCTATATTCGGCGGTATTATGGGGGGAGGGGCCTTTACCAGCAGGCGGCCCTTGTCAACCCTGTGTACCCCATGGAGAGGCTCTGGCTATGCTCTTGCCCGCATCCTAAAGTAGTTAACTCGGCTATGTTGAAAGGGTGCAAACGAATGTCGGGTGGCCCAATTCATGCCTAAGGCAGGCAGCTTCCCGAAAGCTTATTTCTTGCTTCACAGCATGTAAGAGAAGACAATCCAGAAATAGATCTGTCTTGTAGCAGGTGTCTGATGGATATAGCTTTACACACCAGGAAGAAGTGATGGTGATCCATAAACGTACAGCAAAGCAGTCATACGATTGGTGAACAGTCATGCGATGGATAACCGGACTTGGGCAGTGGCCGCCGACGGTGGACGGGAGCAGGGCTCAGATAAGAAATATCTCAGAGAGGGATCTTAATTTTGTGGCTTGTTTTTAAACTGAAAACTCCGGTTTTATGATTTTTGTCACATTGCTTTTGAAGTTGGTTTTGAAATCTTCCGAACCTCATTCCACTTGGAATGTTGCGACAGATCTTATCTTTTGAAAAACAGTCGGCGAAATTTACGCGCAAGAAACTCCGGCGCAGTATGGGTTACTGATGCGTGATTCGTATCTAAAATTCTGATCAGACTACGCCAGGTAATATTTTTGCATGAAACCTGTAGATCCAGGTGCCTCCTCAATGACCCAAAACGCCCACCCGTTCGTGTTATTTCGCCTCCTCAGGGAAGACAATGCTGAAATGAAAGAATAGAAATCTTGGGATGGGGAAACAACTGTAGGTGAATATTTAGCATAGCAGCCATGGCACTCAGTTATTTCCTAAATTTGTAAAGTGAATTCAGTACGGACAATATCCTCTGGTCAACCCAATTTCGCAATGTTCCTACGCCTATGCTCATATCTGCCACATATTACCCTAAAGTGACCCTAAATATAAACAGACATGTCCCTCATACAAATTTGAGTATGATAGCATGATGGTATCTAGGTGAAAGTGTTTTGAACGCATATTTATGATGTAGGGCTCCGTTTATGTAACAGTGTCGGCCCGCCGCGCAGTCTGCGGAGTCGCCAGCTCCCGCCCGCCGCCCACGCCGGCGTTGGATCGTCGTGCAATATTCCTAAAACCGTCACTTCTCAGAAACCGGAAATGCTACTGACAATTTGTGGTCAAAACACGCGCCCTGAGTGTCCCAGAGGCTACTAAAAATTTGGGCTCATAAAACGACATGTTAGAGAGGCATCTTCAGGAAACCTCGAGGAGGCCGTATCGACCACCTCTCCCTACCAGTTCGAGGATTAAATCGATTTAAACAAAGCGAGAAAGATGAGGATAAGTGCTCCACACAACACTTAAAAGTAAGACCTCGAGCACCTCGAGCTGATCTTTCGAGCCTGAAGGCATCAATAACAAGGCTGTGCCAGTCAAAACAAGTTATTTTTGGTATGGTCACATTTGATATGGTCATTCATGGTAAGGTCATAGGATGCAAACCAAAGTGCGTAGATCCGTACTTTTGCTATTGAAACTAGACCTTGGTCAGTGACCACACGAATCGGCCAGCAGAATAGCAGCGGTTTCCTGATTGGTCAGCTGGCAACATGAATACTGGCTAGTCACAACTAACTCTGTTCAGTACGTTTCGTGACGACTAAGCCGCTTCTGTCATAATTGATACAAGAGTCTAATTTGATGAGAACTCGTTATCTCAAATGTTCCATGGCAGCGGAAATCCGTCGACTCAGGCCTCACACGAAGCGCTCCAAATCTCGGCAGCGCATAAGCCGTGGAACCATTAGCTGTTAAAACAAGCCTGCTGGCCATGGGCAGACTCATGATCGCCAACCTACTGGAAATAGTACAATGATGCTTACAACTTCGTTAAATTTGATTTTAATGCAATTTGGTGATCATAAATTACTTAGCCTATGCCCTGGTAAACCCAGATGGTCTTTGCTGCCATGTACAATATTACCAGTCCTCAGGGGCAGCTCAGCAGGGGGCAAAGGGAGAGAGAGCAGCTGCCCGCTCCCCTCCCTGCCGGCAAGCGCAGGGGTGGGGGCAAGCAACTGCCCCCCCCCCCCCCCTCTCCCCCCAGCAGGCCTCCTCCCCCAGCAGCCCCTCCCCCCCCCCCCCAGCAGGCCCCCAAGAAGGCCAAAGCTCTCTTTTTTGCAGCTAGCTCTCTCTCAGGGGGGGCTAGGCTTTTGACCCCCCCCCCCCCCCCCACCCCACCCCTACCAGCAGGCAGGCAGGCAAGAGTGTGTTTTCCCCTCAAAATTTTGGGAGGCACCTTTTCTAAGCTAAAGGCATTACAGCTATTCGTAGATTACCAAAGTTCAGAGCAAGGAGGGTCACATAACTGAATATGCTCTCAGAAGAATGGCTTGCGGTGCAATGATATGACTTGGCGTTTTGTTTGGTACGTCCATTTTTATTTCATCTGGTTTAATCTTTTCTGTCTTCTTCGTTAAGGTCAACCGCAGGAAGTGTCAAAAACACACGTCGTTTGGTTGCGCGGTATACAAGCACACACACGCGTCCTTGTATGCGAGGCAGCCAAAGGAATAATTTCAAGCATTTCAATATGCATCTTGACCATAGACGCCTACTACAATGTCATGAGATGAGAAAGGGCGCAGTAGGACTGATGTTTCCGCCTGCCGAACACCGCCCGCCGAACACCGCCCGCCGAACACCACCCTCTGAAAGTCACCCGCAGAACACCTCCCGCCGAACACAGCCCGCCGAACACCACCCGCCGAACATCACCCGCAGAACACCTCCCGCCGAACACAGCACGCCGAACACCACCCGCCGAGCACCACCCGCCGAACACCGCCCGCCGAACACCACCCGCCTAACACCACCCGCCGAACACATCATGCCGAACACCACCCGCCGAACACATGCATGCCGAACAACGCGGGCCGAACACTGCCAGCCGAACAACGCGGACCGAACAACGCCTGCCGAACCTCCGTCCTTTTGCGCCAAGCCTTTAAGCCATGATCAATACGTATCTATACGTGCGCTAACACAAGATCAGCTACCACGTACCATCAGAAGTCTGGAAAACCTAGTTTGAGAATTAATGGTCCATCAAGACGAAACCACCTGCCAAATTCGAAATGAGGAGCACACGAATAGACCATACTCAGACCTCACCTCGTTGCGCAGCTTCTTTATTTCTGTGGTGAGCTCCTCACACTGCTGCGTGTACTGCCACTTAGCTGTCTTTTCACTCTCTACTATTTGTAGCAGGTGAAGGTGCTTCTGTTCAAGCTCCTCCTTCTGCAGCAGGAGCTTGTTGAAGCTGAATGGAAAAAATTAGCTGTAAATAATCATGTCCATCGGAAGGGTGTGGGTCGCGTTGTCAAGCCATATCAAACGACAACGTATGCGAGAAATTATGCTGATGTGACTCAATCCATTGGGTGAGCATTTGGACACTCCTTGTTTATGCCGGATCCCACAAGATGAATAAGCAAAAAGATTATTGCAAAACACTTCATGAACAGGACAGCCCTGAGTGTTGCTTGGTCTCTAAAAACCCGGTCTTGCAGGTCTTCCGAAATTCCCCAATTCAGGTGCATAAAGCTCCACCCTAGTGTGCTTTCTGTGACGTACAAAAAATAGCTCCTAGTTAAAATGCCATTAGCAAAAGAAACCACGAGATCACAAGTCACAGCTGAGTTTCCAACGCGCAAACTGACACTAACCGACTGGTATAAAATCAACCCTAATCATCAATGTAACGAGCTAAAAGGGGAACGACTGTGCTGATCCTGATTAACTTGCTGTTAAGGATTGTCTTTGCATTTGATGTCAATGCAGGCTGTCCTCTTAAGTCATGTTGTTACGACCAAGACGGTAGGTCCTTCAGTCCTAACGTCTCATAAGCGGATTATATAGCTTCAAAGGTCTCGGCCCGGCCAGCCAGAGCCTTTCTATCAGAGCTCTTATGCCCACTGTGATCGGACTTCGGTTCAACAGGAGCTTTTAGTAAAGGACGTTATCAAGCCAACACGACTGGAAACATCACTCATTGATGACAAAACCAACCTTTGCTCGATAACGTGTGCTTAACCAGTCGCTTGGTATATTGAAGGTCGTTAGCTGTGAGAATAAGAAATCTGAAATGATAATGCTAGTAAACCAGGGCCTCGAGGCTTTCCTTGTGTACATAACGTACCATGGAAACGATACCAACGTAACGATACGTAAACGACACCAACGTAACGTACCAGCGTAACGATAGCGTACCATGGAAATTGCACGGCTTTCAAAATGCAAAAAAAAAATCTGAAGGACACGGGCTAAATACAGGCCCAGATGTCGGCGGCCTGGGTCGCCGTGCTACGAGACCAACACTTTGTGACGGAGGAGAAAATGAGTGATCGTATTGCCACCAGCGGGGGTGAACTGTGCGGGTCATCACGCGCTCTCGCGTGCGCCATCCATGGCTCCGTCCGTTTTGCGAGATTTCGTGGGACTGATGTCAGATCTAGGCAACCAGCACCATGGGGACGGGGGGCGAACTGAGCGGCACAGACCGGCATACAGTAAACAAACCGCTGAGCGATGTCAGCAATGCCCCTCTCATAGCTGCGCCAGTAATCGGCGGGGAAGAGAAAAACGTTACCTGCTGCGAAACTGGCCACGAATAGATACGCTGAGCCCTCAAGTGGGATATTTGCTTTCAGGGAAAATTGCTCAGTTGCACGCTCAGTCTTTTTCAGCTATATCCACTAAAAACATTTACAGTTTTGCAATACTTTAGCCAGAATCACCGACAGCGTAAGCCATTGAACGTTAAAAGCAGTATCCCGACTTTTGTGCTTCTTACTTCTTGCTAGATCAGATGCGCATGATTTTTAATTTGATTCGAAGTAGCCGCTCCTGCGGGAAAACTTTTAGTAACCTTCCTGCTCATGACTATGAAGGTGACACGTTTAATTTGCTTTGCTTTTTCCAGCGTGTGTGTTCTGTAGTGTTTGCAACACACTAATGCGTCAAAACGTGTGTGTTATAAATGGTGCGAAAGTTTGAAACACTCTGTTTAGGTAAAATATACGCGAAAATAAACCTATTGTCCCACAGAGGCAACAAAACGTTAAACTGCGGCTTTTATTTATCACCTTTTAGTGTTTATCAGGGTGTCTCTTTTCGAAGCGCACTTTGGCTTTGGAAATGGGAGTATTACATGGTCCATAGCGTCATATTGGTTCACTGGCACCAGTACATTTCTTCATGACATGCTCATGCCGACCACTGGGCCTATCACAAACGTTCTTTAATTCGCAACAGTAGAGGTGCGCACGGTTACAGCAGTTACTGCCCACAGAAGCAGCTATAGCTCACATCGTCGATTCACAGCCCGCTAACAGTCATCCGAGGAAATTGACTTCCATTAAATCCAAGTTCGTAAACGATATCAATCGAACAGCTCAGGAGGCCCAATACTTTGTCAGTTTTATGCTAACTCTTAAGCTGGAATCCCAAGGAGCCCGCCCAGCTGAGTGTCGCGCGCCGCCGGGTGTGGCCCAGCAGTCAGCGCCCTTCGCGAGGCTATTATTGTATGGTGTCATTGGGCTGAACGGTGACGATGGGTATGGAACAAGGCTGGGCATACTCCACACAAGTCACGGTCGCACAGGGATAACGTTTTAGTTGTGATTTAAAATACTTCAGACATGTTGGTTATGTTTATCTGTATGGATGAGACGCTTGCGGATCATATTGATTATGATGGTTTTGATTCTGCGACATGGTTTATTCTTAAGAAATACGGAACCATTGTGTTACTTTTTAACTTAAGGCTAAATAGAAATGCCGTAAATATCGTACAATTACAGTCTGAGTATAGTTCGTCGCGCCGTTTTCTTTGTGTTTGATGTATTGCAATGAACTCATCTAACTTACAAATAGATTGAAACCATGTGGAGAGCTATCTGGTTATATATTTATGCATTACAACTAACATTTGGAATTGAGCAATATGATTCATTTCAACATTTTGTGTGCAAATACTGGCATGACTTTTAAAGGGATGATTATTTTCTATCCAGCAAGCCGTCTTTTTCGGAAAACTACAAATCATGTAATTAAATATATAGCAGTTAAGCTGTGCCTTTGTCACTGAAGTATCAAATCCTGCCAATTGCTTCAAAGTTTGGGGTTAACAAGTCAGCAACACAATAAGTGTGGGGCAAGCGTTTGAGCGATTCGCTGATCTTCACGGCAAGATATTTTGTTCCATTTTAGTTCTCTATGGGTGAGCTGTGAATTCGCACGTTTAGTTGTAAATTGGAGTAAATAGTATTGAGGCTTGAAACAAAAACGTAAGTAGTTATTTGCATCACATAGTTATTTGAGGTTATTGGTGTGGACCTTCGAAGAATATGGGGTTCAAACGTTTTTGTTCTCCTCTAACCTGCATAGAGACTCATGCAAGGGGCAAACATCCAAGGAATGTGAGGTCCCTGGGCGTTGGAGAAACACTCAAAAGCTACAAAACCTGAAACACAAACACCGAATATGCGCCTCATTGCACATATATCACTACCTCAATCCAATAAATATCATTGGGAGGTCAACGGAAACGACAAAGTATGCATCGTCTTGAGGTTCCAAGAGGCGTTTTGTTCTTGCGGAGAAAATGTTCCTTCCTGGGTGTGGTATTCAGCGCACAGCCCAAGGTGTGCCAGCCGGGCTGCCTCACCTGGCCTGCCTGATGGCGTCGATCCAGGCCTTGCAGTCGTTCTCCGAGTTGGCGCGGAGGTCGTACTGGCGCTGGTTCTCCCGCCGGTACGTGATGGACAGACAGTACTGCGGCACAGCGTGCGTGACGTCAGCAGGCGCCGCGGCCCGACGGCGTCCCCAGCCGCCAAACACGGCCGCGCGCCACGCCACGGCCGACGCGGCGCCCCACGATGTCCTCCGCCCAGGATGTAATGCGGCGCAGCTTGCCTTGAAGGATGCCGTCGTGCGGCACAGCCTACCAGGGCGGGCTTTCGGCCCTCGCGCTCGGTAATGAAGCAACGAACACCATGCAGCGGCAAGTTGTTTCCATCCAAAATACTTCGTCCGTTCGATATGTGATGTGAACTCAAAGGTGGGAGAAAGTGCAGAAGACGGATAACGCGCAAGGAGGATGATACCTTCCAGGTTAGCTAAGGGTTAGTACAAATTATCTTATATTTGGGAGCATGTGACAGGTATCCACTATCCAGTGCACCACAATCCTGTCCTTCTTCGATAAAGGACAATTAATGCGATCATGTGCACAGTTATGCACTAAGTTCAAATAATGCGCAGCTTTACTCCGCGAGTACGAGGCTTATGTGTTGCTTGACATTCAACATCTGCGGAATTTTCAGTGTCATTACGTTTGTTATCGGTTTTACATGCTTTTGTTGTCATTGAGGCTCAACCCGGAAGATGCACTCTATACGCTCAGAAGCTGAGGCTGTATGGTGTCGCCTGCCTCCTACCCTGACAGGAAGGTCGGGCAGCGCGGGGAGTCTAATCCCGTACCTCTGGTTTTCCAGACGCTAAGAGAAGCCATTGCGTTACCGAAGCCCGAATATCCGTTGTATACGAATGATTAAAATGGTGGCTTATATTCATGCAAGACGGGAATGCATCTTTTAACTGTAATCGGACGTCTATCTTTAAGTTACAGCTACATATCATGAAAACCGGTAAGGTTTTTTAGAGCTTTATTATTTTAAGTACGATTTTTCTATGTAAAAGGTCGTACACATGGTCTACTCTTAACTTCAATTGAACACCTATCTGTTGCCCGCGGCTGCGTGTCATGGACAGCTCATTTGGTTGTGCGTTCAGTGCTGCCCGGTACGTGACTATACCGTTTCCACCGTAGTGTGACCGGGTAGTCGGTGACGGGGACCGTTAAGCTGATTCAAGGCTGGTGGTCCTGCCGCCCGCGCCTTACGTCGTCTGCGGCAGTCGCAGAGGCCCAGCGGCGGTCTCGCCTGGGGCTCCGTCCCCGCGGGCTTCGGAATGTTTTCACCTGATATGCAACTCCTGGGGCTTGGAGGAGGTGTTCTCAGCGGGGTCCGATTCTATGGGCTTGGAGGCGTTCGTAGCTGGGGTCAGAGGCCTTGGGCCTGGTGGAATGTTCTTACCTGGGCTCCTCCAGCCCCGTGGGCTTGGAGGAGGTGTTCTCACCTGGGATCTATTCCCTCGGACTAGACGGTATTCCCACCTGGCGGTCAGAGTCCTTGGGCCTGGACGGGCGTTCTCGCCTGGAGTCCATCCCCTCGGACTAGACGGTAAGCTTACCTGGAAGTCAGGGTCCTTAGGCTTGGGGGAGGTGTTCTCACCTGGGGGTCAGAGTCCTTGGGCTTGGAGGAGGTGGTGATGAGCCGCTCGCAGTAGCATCCCTCCAGCAGCACCACCCCGGACGGTCGGCTGCTCGACTCGGCCTCGTAGTAGAACAGAAGGTTCTGCGTGTGGATGGTGAGGTTCGTCACTCGTGCTCCACACTGGGTAGGGGTGTCGCTGCGCTGGCATACAATAGAACAGCGTGTCCACAGAAGGTAGGAGTGTCACTGCGCAGGCGTGGAACACAACGGTGTGTCCACGCTGGGTAGGGGTGTCGCTGCGCTGGCATACAATACAACGGTGTGTCCACACTGGGTAGGGGTGTCACTGCGCAGGCGTGGAATACAACGGTGTATCCACACTGGGTAGGAGTGTCACTGCGTAGGCGTGGAATACAACGGTGTGTCCACACTGGGCAGGGGTGTCACTGCGCAGGCATAGAACGGTGTGTCTGCAGAAGGTAGGAGTGTTACTGCGCAGGCGTGGATTAAAACGGAGTGTCTTTACTGGGTAAGAATGGCATAGCACAGGCATGAAACAAAACGTTATGTCCACACTGGGTAGGGTGTCACTGGGCAGGCGTCGAGCTCTTCCATCATGCGGACACCGTGCTTGACTTGTCAAGACGGACGTTTAAAATTTAACGGCGTATATTAACACGCGCCCGGGTGGCCGGTTGAATACCCTCGCTCGGGTGAGGTCAATTGACCCCACTGGGATCTCAGAAACTAAGAGAGCCTGAGACACCAAATTCACAGTGTGTGTTGACCTACAGGTGAACTTATTTGTGGCAGAACTTGAGATTCTTAGGTCATGAAATTCGGGTCAAGGAAGGTCAAACAAGCTTAAACTCAAGATTGACGTTCGAAGTGTAAACAGATCCTGGATACCTGTTCTAAGCAAAAGGTCACTAGTGTTCATTTAAGGTCAGTGGCCTTGTTTGCCCTTTCGCAGGTCATGGAGACCAAAATCATATGAAACTGCTTTGAATTTTGCATTTGAATAGGCGTCATTGATTACACTACGCAGTATGTTCCAAAAAACATAATGATCACCCCGATCATTTTAGGTCAGTAGCCTATTTTGACCTTTAAAAGTGAATGCAAGATGTGCAATCTGATTCCTGTTATGAATAAATTCGGAATGAACACCAGAATCCAACCCACACAGGAAGCACTAGAGCAATAAAGCAGGCTCGTTTTAATCTTGGTCTGACCTTCATACCCGACCTTAAGTCAATGAACTTTGTTCATTCAATTGTTGTGTTGCCTAATAAGCCATTTCGGAGATGTATGGCTTTGTCTAACGTTTCATTGTTGCATCAGATTGAACGACTCCGTAACATTTGTATTCGCTGAATGCATGACCTGACTTTGACCTACCGTGGTCAGCGACCATACAAGGTCCATCAAAAATTTTGACACCAAACGATCTGATATTCAGTTGTCTACGGTCATGTATAACTTGACAAGGCTACGTAAAGCCGTTCGGAAACCATTCCAGAAAAAAACCTTCGCGGGGTCAAATTGACCCCAACCGAGCGCGTGTTCAAGTTACGAAACGGTTATCCTTTGAAACTTGTATCCAGCTGTTATATTGGCTTTGTGGTCCTGCGGTTCCGGTGCGCCAGACTGGTGTAGCAGTTGCATAAGTGCAGTGCTGTCAGTGATATATGGGCATGTAGCTTTCAGACCAGACTGCACCATGGGGAACGCGAATGACATGTGTCATACCGTGTACACATATTGGTGAGGTGCCGTTTCGCACTCGAAGTGGGTCATCGTGCTCATGATCAAGAGGTCACGGGTTCAACCTCAAGTATTCTTCCACGTTATTCACTGGATCCATTGTGAGAGCCAGCCGTAACAGCTACGACAAACATTAACTTAACGACTGTATGCGTACGAGCGTAATTTAATGTCCATCGTCGATTCAGTAAATGCTCACGCCGTCACTAAACCATAAAGCTACCCCATCGCGCCACCAATCAGCCTTGCTAAGGCACGCCAAGGTGTGCACGCAACAATAATGAATGTAATAAGAACAGCGCACACAGGTGTAAAAGGGTGCACCCGTAAAAATGATACCTAATCGACATCCAAGAGACATGTCGGCGTTTGCGCTCGCTGCCATACCGCGAACTCGATGTGTTTGACGAGCGCATACCGGAGTACGCTGACCTTTATCAACGCGAAGCTATTGTAATGTCTTCCACGAACCAGCGCTAGGTTAACGGCGCAGAAGGCACTAGAACGGAACAAGCCGAGATGGACATGCGCAGATGGTCTTACTTCACTGCTCAGCGCAGGCTTGCATAGTTCAACGTCAGTGTAGCTTGTCATCTTCACATGTACATTTTCGACTGCGTGTGCACTCCGTAAAGCTGTTTTTAAATAACTTAAGTTGGTTTGTATCTAAATAGAGTTGTTTTGGCCTAGCTACCCGCGAGGAGTTCAAAATCCCAGAGTGCAAAGCATGACTTGACCTCATTTGGCCCGACATAAAAGTCAACGGTACACCTGGGAAACGCCTTGGAATGACCCCCGCAAATTGTAGAGATAAAAGCGGCGGCTTTTACTCAGCGTGCTAGTGTGGAATCGGCGAGTGGCGGTATTAATAGATACCGACGATGGTGGTGCGAATTTCAAAGCTAGCGAAGGATTGGGCAAAAGTTCAGTCCGAAGTATTACGCTGGCACAGCCTGTACTTTGTGCATGCATATATATCGAAATATATTAAGATATACCCCAGCCTTACAAATTCCTGTGTGTATATATATATATATATATATATATATATATATATATATATTCAGTAAGATTATATATGTGGTGTGTGTGTGTGTGTGTGTGTGTGTGTGTGTGTGTGTGTGTGTGTGTGTGTGTGTGTGTGTGTGTGTGTGTGTGTGTGTGTGTGTGTGTGTGTGTGTGTGTGTGTGTGTGTGTGTGTGTGTGTGTGTGGGTGTGTGTGTGGTGTGTGTGTGTGTGTGTGTGTGTGTGTGTGTGTGTGTGTGTGTGTGTGTGTGTGTGTGTGTGTGTGTGTGTGTGTGTGTGTGCGTGTGTGTGTGTGTGTGTGTGTGTGTGTGTGTGTGTGTGTGTGTGATACCTTTCGCGGAGACGGGCGGCGTGTGGAAACATACAGTGTGCATTATGCTCATGAAGGCGTGGGTAATGTCTACCATCGCCGCCATTAGATACCGCTCCATTAAAAGGCTCTTCTGCCCAGGCGTTAGTGGTATTCTGCGGTGGCAAAGGTCAGTGTGATGGGCGCATGCGAATCAGAACGAAATAGCTTAAGCACCAAACCATTATGGAAGAGCTCGTCGGAGTCAGCTCACACAATGGAAACAAACGTGATGCGATGTGACGAGACTGCGTGTCGGGGGACCGTTTTGCTGTACATATATATATTGTCCGGTATGAAGCCATGCTCGGCGTAGCTCAATGAGATGATGAACGGCCACTACTGATAATCAATAATCAATCTCCGCATTGATGGCTTGGCCGACATTAATCAGAAATGCATAATCACCAAAATGGCGAAGGATATGAGACAGTACATCGCATTCAAATAACCCCACAATCCTCGTACCTGTACTTCGCTCAAGCATGCACTAGCGTGAACTGCGGCTGGAGTAATGCGGAACCCATTGGCAAGGAAAAGTATCGGATAATATTCTGCAAAGTAGGATTCCTTACATCACACCCTTTGAAGTAACGCAAAACTGGGGAATATTAGCCTAAACACAAGCTAAAAATATAAGCATTTGCCAAATAATTTATAGATAGAGTATAATTCAAATATCTGCTGATATCTGCTGCTATATAAAATATCTGCTAAATAGTCATGGTTGCAGCACGAGCACCATTGAGAGGATTAAATCGTAGGCTTCTATGTATTTCGCGTTCTTTGATCCTAGTCTGCAGGAGCTGAAAGACACCGCACAAGACTTGGCTGTTCTGATCAATGGCCTGCCGCCATTGTGAACTCCGAATTGGCCTCCCTGAAGGAGGCGGCCGTGGTCCCGGGGGACGGTCGCCAGAAGGACGCCACCATCGGCGCGGATGTGAGACCACTTAATTCGGCATTGGAGAACCGCGGCCGCTTCGAGCGGAGGGACGATGGTTCCCTATTGAATAGGCCCTCCACCGACCTCAAGCGGTCAGCAGTGGCGCTGTGGGACACAGTATGTGACGATGCCACCGGAGGGGAAGATGCGAAGGTGTCTTTGCCACTGATGAGTGACTTCGGGTGAAGAAAATAATGACACTGGCTCGCAGCGCTCAGTGGGCGCTAGGATAGATTAAAGAGACACCCCTTTTTATCAGTCTGGTACGGTTATTGAATCGACGCGACAAGACGTGCCTGAGTGCCGGGAGACAGGCGGCAGTTCGGTGCATTCTTTCTGCATGCGTCATGGAGCGACTTTTTCGCTCATGTTACCACGCAAAACGTTTTAAAGCCGCCATGGAATGTGAACAACCGCATTACAGCATTGATTATTAACATGACGTTCCTAGCATGCCATCCACGCCGCTAGCGTCCCCACCCGCGCGTCGGTACGGTCGAGCCCACCGAGGCGACCTCACTGCACCCATCGGGCGGGCTCGTGACGTCTGACAGCCAGCCGGGCAGCCGGCGAGCAGCCCGCAGCGTCCCGAGCAACGGGCAGTCGGCGGGCAGCCTACAGCGCCCCGAGCAACGGGCAGTCGGCGGGCAGCCCGCAGCGTCCCGAGCAACGGGCGGTCGGCGGGCAGCCTGCAGCGTTCCGAGCAACGGGCAGCCGGCGGGCAGCCGCAGCGCCCCGAGCAACGGGCAGTCGGCGGGCAGCCTGCAGCGTTCCGAGCAACGGGCATCGGCGGGCAGCCTGCAGCGTTCCGAGCAACAACGGGCAGACCGGCGGGCAGCCGCAGCGCCCCGAGCAACGGGCAGTCGGCGGGCAGCCCGCAGCGTTCCGAGCAACGGGCAGCCGGCGGGCACCCCGCAGCGTCCCGAGCAACGGGCAGTCGGCGGGCAGCCGCAGCGCCTCGAGCAACGGGCAGTCGGCGGGTAGCCCGCAGCGCCCCGAGCAACGGGCAGTCGGACGCAGATCTGCATCGAGTTGCGGCTTCTCATGAATCGG